CTGGCCAAGGGCTCTCCTCCCTTTGACAGAGCCTGGTCAGGGCACTCCAACACAGCTGGCACGTCTGCACACTTCTCTTCTCTTGGAGATATATCACTAGGGGTTCCTTTCTGACGGAAGCTCAAACGAAGCGCGGCTTCCCCCTGCGATGTTTGGCGCTCAAGTGAGGTCAAAGCCCTCCAGAAGCAAGCCTCACGCCTCCAGCAAATTATCCACATCTCCTAACCAGTCATTTATCTGTTTTCTTATTCACTGCCCATAATCTTAAATTGTTCATTGAATCCAACAAACTATTTTGCATCTGTGTTATCGCCTCTATATTTCCTATACTTTCTAGTTAGGCCAGGCTTGTTGAATAACACCTCAAGGGGGAGATTCGTTTCTCCTGTAGACTGAGATCATAACAGTTCACACACTAACCAATAAATTGGTTAGAAAGGTGGGGTTTAAGAGCTAATAGCTAGATTCTGCAGATACAAATGTAAATGCAAATAGTAAATACGCACACACACACACTCACATGTTGTATACCACATATGTCAGGCCAATCTTGGAGTATGCAGCCCAAGCATGGAGTCCATATCTAGTCAAGGATAAAACTAAACTGGAAAAGGTTCAAAGGTTTGCTACCAGACTAGTACCATAGCTGAGAGGTATGAACTACGAGGAGAGACTACGGGAATTAAACCTCACTTCACTGGAAGACAGTAGAGTTAGGGGGGACATGAACACCACATACAAGATTCTCAGAGGAATGAATAGGGTAGATAAAGACAGACTTTTGAACACAAGGGGCACACGCACTAGGGGACACAGGTGGAAATTGAGTGCCCAAATGAACCATAGAAGACGTTAGAAAGAATTGTTTTCAGTGTCAGAGTAGTAGACAAATGGAATGCATTAGGAAGTGATGTGGTGGAGACTGACTCCATACACAGTTTCAAGTGTAGATATGATAGAGCCCAATAGGCTCAGGAACCTCACAACTACGAGGAGAGACTACGGGAATTAAACCTCACTTCACTGGAAGACAGTAGAGTTAGGGGGGACATGAACACCACATTCAAGATTCTGAAGGGAATTGATAGGGTAGATAAAGACAGGCTATTTAACACAAGACACATAAGGAAACTAGAGAAGGTTCAGAGGTTTGCGGCGAGGCTCGTCCCAGAGTTACGAGGGATGGGATATGAAGAACGTCTGAGGGAACTGAACCTTACGACACTAGAGAAAAGAAGGGAGAGAGGAGATATGATAGGAACATATAAAATAATCAGAGGAATTGACAAAGTGGAAATAGATGAAATGTTCTCACGTAATAATAACAGAAAGAGGGGACATGGGTGGAAATTGGAAACTCAGATGAGTCACAGAGATGTTAGGAAGTTTTCTTTTAGCGTGAGAGTAGTGGAAAAATGGAATGCACTTGGGGAACAGGTTGTAGAAGCAAACTCTATTCATAATTTTAAAATTAGGTATGATAGGGAAATGGGACAGGAGTCATTGCTGTAAACAACCGATGGCTGGAAAGGCGGGATCCAAGAGTCAATGCTCGATCCTGCAAGCACAAATAAGTGAGTACAAATAGGTGAGTACACACACAAACACACACACACACACAGGGTTGATAAAGACAGGCTAAGATATCGACAGGGTTGATATGACAGGCTATTTAACAAAAGGGGCACACGCACTAGGGGACACAGGTGGAAACTGAGTGTCCAAATGAGCCACAGATATATTAGAAAGAACTTTTTTAGTGTCAGAGTGGTTGACAAATGGAATACATTAGGAAGTGATGTGGTGGAGGCTGACTCCATACACAGTTTCAAGTGTAGATATGATAGAGCCCAATAGGCTCAGGAACCTGTACACCTGTTGATTGACGGTTGAGAGGCGGGACCAAAGAGCCAGAGGTCAACCCCGCAAGCACAACTAGGTGAGTACAACTAGGTGAGTACACACATACACACACACGCACGACTAGGTGAGTACATCTCTTTTTACAGTGTTGCAGAAAACGTCAACAGGCAATCACAAATAGACTTCAAAAAGTTTCTTACAAAAGTACAGTAAGATGATGAAGATGAATCTCCCCAAACACTGTCATAAAGTTCTATTACCACTATCACTGTTGCTGGCATTGTTGTTGAAGCTGGAGCTGTGCTGCGGGGTCCTGATAGAGGTGGAGGAAGACCTGAGGTGGCACCTGGCCGACCGCAGCCTCGTCGCCAAGCTTGGGGCCTTTGTCTGGTCCATGACACAGCCGCTTGACGCCCAGTGCCTTCGTCGGCGCCGGCAGGAAGGATCTACCTGGCACCCGTCCATGTGGGGCGTGGATGACGAACTGTGGCAGCTCCGGACGCTGGAGGGCAGCTTCAGGAGCCTGGTGTCCTCCATGCCCCTGCTGGGGTCGGTCTTCCCCAGCCGGGTGAGGGACGGTGTCCTGGACAGGAGTCCCTGGGCGAGGGTGCCTGTCCTCGGCACACTGTACCGGCTACTGCTGCAGGGCAACCGCGTGCAGTACCTCAGGTGCCTGCTGCCGGAGCTGACGCATTACCAAGTGTGGCGCGAGGCCTTCATGTGTCTCTCACTGGCGCTAGTCGAGCTCGTCCTTATCGGGAAGATTATGTTCCGCCCGGACGATGACTGTCTACCAGCTGTCGGTGAAGACAGCAGTGCACTACCATCTGTCGGTAAAGACAGCAGTGCACTACCATCTGTCAGTGAAGACAGCGGTGCACTACCAGCTGTCTGTGAAGACAGCAGTGCACTACCATCTGTCGGTGAAGACAGCAGTGCACTACCATCTGTCGGTGAAGACAGCAGTGCACTACCAACTGTCGGTGAGGACAGCAGTGCACTACCAGCTGTCGGTGAAGACAGCAGTGCACTACCATCTGTCGGTGAGGATAGCAGTGCACTACGAGCTGTCGGTGAAGACAGCAGTGCACTACCATCTGTCGGTGAAGACAGCAGTGCACTACCATCTGTCGGTGAGGATAGCAGTGCACTACGAGCTGTCGGTGAAGACAGCAGTGCACTACCATCTGTCGGTGAAGACAGCAGTGCACTACCATCTGTCGGTGAGGACAGCAGTGCACTACGATCTGTCGGTGAGGACAGCAGTGCACTACCATCTGTCTGTGAAGACAGCAGTGCACTACCATCTGTCTGTGAAGACAGCAGTGCACTACCATCTGTCTGTGAAGACAGCAGTGCACTACCATCTGTCGGTGAAGACAGCAGTGCACTACCATCTGTCTGTGAAGACAGCAGTGCACTACCATCTGTCGGTGAAGACAGCAGTGCACTACCATCTGTCGGTGAAGACAGCAGTGCACTACCATCTGTCGGTGAAGACAGCAGTGCACTACCATCTGTCTGTGAAGACAGCAGTGCACTACCATCTGTCGGTGAAGACAGCAGTGCACTACCATCTGTCGGTGAAGACAGCAGTGCACTACCATCTGTCGGTGAAGACAGCAGTGCACTACCATCTGTCTGTGAAGACAGCAGTGCACTACCATCTGTCGGTGAAGACAGCAGTGCACTACCATCTGTCGGTGAGGACAGCAGTGCACTACCATCTGTCTGTGAAGACAGCAGTGCACTACCAGCTGTCGGTGAGGACAGCAGTGCACTACCATCTGTCTGTGAAGACAGCAGTGCACTTCCTACTGTCTGTGAAGACAGCAGTGCACTACCATCTGTCTGTGAAGACAGCAGTGCACTTCCTACTGTCGGTGAGGACAGCAGTGCACTACCATCTGTCTGTGAAGACAGCAGTGCACTTCCTACTGTCGGTGAGGACAGCAGTGCACTACCATCTGTCTGTGAAGACAGCAGTGCACTACCATCTGTCTGTGAAGACAGCAGTGCACTTCCTACTGTCGGTGAAGACAGCAGTGCACTACCATCTGTCTGTGAAGACAGCAGTGCACTTCCTACTGTCGGTGAAGACAGCAGTGCACTACCATCTGTCTGTGAAGACAGCAGTGCACTTCCTACTGTCGGTGAAGACAGCAGTGCACTACCATCTGTCGGTGAAGACAGCAGTGCACTTCCGGTGACAGCAGTGCACTCCATCTGTCGAAGACAGCAGTGCACTACCATCTGTCGGTGAAGACAGCAGTGCACTACCATCTGTCGGTGAAGACAGCAGTGCACTACCATCTGTCGGTGAAGACAGCAGTGCACTACCATCTGTCGGTGAAGACAGCAGTGCACTACCATCTGTCGGTGAAGACAGCAGTGCACTACCATCTGTCGGTGAAGACAGCAGTGCACTACCATCTGTCGGTGAAGACAGCAGTGCACTACCATCTGTCGGTGAAGACAGCAGTGCACTACCATCTGTCGGTGAGGACAGCAGTGCACTACCATCTGTCGGTGACACCTCCAAGAACATGGATCCAGCCCGAGACGTTGAGCACTCCCCGAAGGATCGGCATCCTTGGTCTGTCACCTCTCTAGAGCTTCGTCCCTCGAGCGATGGACAGGTTTCAGAGCTACTGATTGATATGCGTCATGAAGACCTCCAGGTAACCATTACGAGTGAAGTTAGCTTCCACACTGATCCATCTAAACCTCTGTATTTAAGAGATATGGAGTCCATGTTGAATCTCGTAACCAACAAGGAGGCGTTCTGCAGGCACATCGAGGACAACTACGGTTTCCCTGACATAGCCGGAGACGACTTGGCTGCAGACCAAATTGCTGAATGGCTAACAGAGATAATAACAGCCATGGTGCTTTCGGTAATACACCCTGACCCGACTCCACTACCATAACCATCTCCTCTCACCTGAGGCTGATGGAGGCTCTATGGTCTTTCTGTCGTGGAATTACACAGTCGCTTGGCGGACATTGCTATCGGGGATAACACCTGCGGGGAAGGTCGGGCAATGAATCTCTCTCCTGTGGTTGTTGAGGTTGACACACAGCTTTAAGATGCTGGTGTCGTACCAGTCCGGCTGTGGTGCGTTATTCCCAGCCAGGAGGGGGACGGTGTCTGGGACTGCAGTGTCAGCACGAGAGTGCCTGAGCTCTGGAACTCTGTGCCGACACCGACTGAACTCAACTACTTTATATGTGCAATTTCCAATGGAAACCTTTTTTATTATTTGTAACGAGTTAAAAAATATTCCTCACTAAATTGCATTGTGGCCGATAGGTGTCGGTGGAGAACCGTAAGTGTTGGTCTTTGATGTACACTAAAGGAACGTAATATTTTAACATTGCTACTCACAAAGTTCTCAACATGCTTCACATTAAATTCCAACTTCGTTAAATACCAGACTTCAATCTCACTAAGATTCATCCAGCATCTTATTTTTCTACATTAATTTTTTTTAAGGGATATTCCTTCATGACCCAGTAGATGAAAGAGATTAAAATTATTTATGTTATTGTCATAAAAATAATTAATAATTATAATTGTTGTAATTAATAATTATTAATGATTTATATTATTATTATAAAAACAATTAATAATTATAATTATTGTACTTAATAATTATTACTCTTTCTTCTGCTGGGTCATGAAGGAAGCCGGCCTAAGGTGGAAGGGGGCTGTGACGATCTCTGTCTGGAACCCATAGATGCTGGCCTCAAACGACCACCTCCTGGGGCTCGTGCAGCCCAAGCTCTGCTTCAGGACCCAGATTCATGAAGCGCCAGGTATTTCTTCTTAAGTAGCTGTGCTACGAAGGTTCTTAAGTATTCTGTAAGTAGAACCCTACGTACGATTCAGGAAGGTGTTCGTATGCAGCTATTAGTAATTTTGATGTAGTTCACTTCATTCTCGTTAGATGTCACTAGGGCTTTTCGTTTAGCCAATCGAAGAGAAGATAACAGTGTTCATGTTACAGGTTTAGCCAATAACGACGCTGGCTAATCGGAGATCATCGGCGGTCACTTGCCACCTATTTACGTTGAATTTTCTTATAAAATTAGTTTATTTCAAAGTAAAACTATGTTTTTTCACCTACTACAGCCAGAACTTCTGTGACGATCTCTGTCTGGAACCCGTAGGTGCGGGACGGGACGTCCACCTCCCAAGGGTCGTGCGGCCCAGGCTCTGCTTCAGGAGGCTGGGGCAGTTCATACCCTTGATGGGGTGGTGCTTCCCCGGCCACGTCCACGGCGGTCTCTGGGTTTGGAGTCCCTGTGCTTTTTTTCATCATCTTCCTAGTCAACTCCTGAGCGATCAGTTCCTCCGATGGCGCTGGAACCAATCGTATTGGCGTTTTCCTTTCCATTGAAGACTTTCGGCGCCGTGGAGAGGGGGGACCTGCTGCATGGGTAACAGCGTCTCCTCCATATCAACCTACTCTGGCTTTGCGCCCTGGAGAGGCCACTCCAGAGCAACACTACTACTACTACTAGAATCTGGATTATGTAAACTCTCCTTACAACACTAGTAAGCAATATTATTTAAGTAATTGGTAGCAGGATATAACAAATAAGATGTCCAATCTCCAGAGAGGCTAACATCATTGCTAAACATATCTTAGGTTCATAAATGTTAACAATGGATCATTAAGATGTCATACTGATATGTAGAGTTACAGTCATATTTTCAGATTTTTTTAATCATTCATTAAATTGTGCAGTATTTGTTAATTTGGGTTCATTTCTGATTATTTTAATTCTTTGGATATATAATAACTCTTTTTATATATATATATATATATATATATATATATATATATATATATATATATATATATATATATATATATATATATATATATATATATATATATATATATATATATCGAACAAGCTTGGATGGTCCCCTTGCATATATGCAACTGAAAACTCCAGACCCCAAAAGTGACTCAAACCCAGGCATGATGTTGGAGATATAGCCTCAGCTTCAACGTCTTTTGTATGTTCACGGTTGGTCAAGTGGTTAAGGTATCATGTACGCCAGTTGCGAAGTGCTCCTGCCTGTCTGGGCTCGCGTCACTTCTGGGGTGTAAAGTTTTCAGTTGCATATTGACTCGGGGACCATTCAAGCTTGTTCAGATTTGTGTTGCTCACATGGCCCCACAAAGTGAGGTGATTCGATGAAATAACTATGCCCACACTTACCACCAAGTGCCGTCGAGATGTTGGGGATATAGCTTCGCCTAACAACGCCTTTTGTATGGTCACAGTTGGTCAAGTGGTTAAGGTACCTTGTACACCAGTTGCATATCTCGGCTCTCGGGAAACAGATATCATGTTTTAAGTTCACCGAGCCCACAGTGAACCACATTACAAGTGCAGTGATATATCACGAAATTATACTTATGTATTTGTGTCACCCCTCTGCCTCCCCCCCCCCATTCCCTCAAGTGTGTACCGTCACCCAACCCACGAGTCGAGAGGTGCCGGTCTCCGCCCCTCTACCCCCACCCAACCGCGACCGCTACCTCCCTGTGTCCACCCCCACACTTCCTCCGCCTAGCGCCTCCCGGCACCCACCCAGTGCCTGCCTGGCGCCCACCCAGTGCCTGCCTGGCGTCCACCCAAAGCCCACACAGCGCCCGCCCGGCGTCCACCCAGCGCCCGAGGATGTCGCAGGTCACGAATGACAGCCAGGCTTCTCTCAGCCATGAGGAGCCATCAACCAGCACCAGGTACGGCACATGCCAAGTATGTGACAAGGTGGGGCATCTCAAGACCAATGGGGGTGTGTGCAAACATGCCCACAACGGAACCGATTGTCCAGGTAGGTGACGCCCTCCCAAAGAGAGTATCAATCAAGGTTCCACACCAGCAGTCAGGTAAAACACCTCAAACAGCTTCATTTCGACTGAGAACCTACTAGAAGCTATCAAAGCGATATCAGTTGGAACCTTGCAGCACATCCCCAAAGCTGCCCGCCCACAAGCGGCAGCCAAACTAT